GCTGTATCCTGAAGAGGGGGTATCCTGTGGAAATTTCCTGAAAGGAGGGAGAAGGAACTGGGAGAAGGGACCAAAGCCAAAAGGACTGGGCTGAAAAGAGACAGCATGCAAAGTGGAGAGAGCCCAAGACATATTATCACACCCTGGAATCTTTTTGACCTTTAGGTGACCTCTGACAGTAAGCAGGAGGTCAGAAGGAAAAGGGGAGGACACACATTTTTCTGGAGGTCCCAGGTCATGCTCAACCTGACTTACTCATGTCACCCACCATGCCACCTCTGACCTTGAAATCGTATTCCTCCGGCCAGTCCCTTCCCTCCGCAAAGTAGGCTTCATGCGGTTCCTTATATTCAGCTTCCAGCATGCTGTCCTAACTCTGAGGGAGCCTTCAGGCCTGTCTCCGTGATTCTTAGCTCTCCCTGTATAACTGCTCTGCCTGCTGCCTCCTAAGACTCACCTCAGCATCACCCAACCATGGAAGAAATGGAGACATTGGACCCTGTTGTGGGATAAAGGCCTGTTGCTGAACCAAAATATCAGAGCCTGCCTGTTCTTTCATGTTCTTAGTATGGAACAGGAATGAGGTGGTCAACAGGAAAGACTAAGATAAGCCAAACAGAACTTCCAATAAAGGCAATTAAGATAACAACTAATTTCTCTATCGATTATATTGTGCAGGGTTTATCAGTGATCGTTTTCCTTGACTTTTCTGAGAGGAGTAGGTGCATTCTCTGGGCCAGACACTTTGTTAGGCATTGCTTGGCAAGGAGACAGGCTAGAACGAGGAGGATGTTGCGGCTCCAGCCCCAAGGTACTCACAGCTTAGAGGGTGGAGAAAGACAGTCTTAATTAGCCTCTGCCAAACCGGAACCCCTCCACCAACCTCAAAGAGGTTCCCTTGTCAAGGCCCCAGAGCAGCCTCCACGTTTCTCTGGGCCTCATTCCAAATTTCCTTCAGTTCTCTACCATGTTCCTGCCGCACCCTTCTCCCTGCTCAGAACAACCTCTCCTCCTACTTCCCTGAGAAAACAGAGGCCTTCAAGCATGGATTACCTCAGTGCCCTGCCCCAACCCCCAAAACTGGCTTGCCTCTCCAACGTCCTTCCCACCCTTCACCCTCCCTTAACAAGGGACAAGGTGCCCCTTTCGTTAAAGGTTAATCCCTTCTCTCCTGGGCCTTGGCCTCATCCACCCTCCTCTGGGCCCTCTCTTCAGGGCAGTATCCTCTTTCCCTTCAGGAAAAGCCAACTTCCCTACACCAGAGTATAAAAGGCCTGCTTCTGTGACTCCTAAAATAAGCGCTCTCTCTCCTCACACTTGTTCTTTTACTCCTCTTGTCTGCTTTCCCTCAGTTTCTTTCTCTTCCTGCCTCCTTCCCGCCCTCTTTTCTTCCACTCACTCTCAAGTATGTTGAAAGTAGAGCCTAATTTCTAGACTTATACTTTCCTCAGCCTCCCATTCACACCTCAGCCAATGGCAATTTGGATCCTGTCCCATCATCCCAGTGAGAAGGCACTGACAAAGGTCCACTGTGACCTCCTAATTGCCAAATTCGATGAACTCTCTGAACTGTAGCTCCTCTTTCTAGTCCATCCCCTTGCTAGGCAATGTCCAGCAATAGGCACTTTTGGCCAAGCAAATCCATCTTCCTCTTTTGGCTTCCATGATCAACTGCCCCCTTCTTTCTCTCACTCCTTCTCTTCCTCTCCCCCTTCCACTCTGCCATCTCTCTCCCAGAAATTGAACCTCATAGTCTCTTTTTACTGTTTTGGATTTTTTTTTAGTCAGGGTCTCACTCTCATAGCCCATACCATCCTGGCACTCAGACTCCTCTGCTTCCACTGCCTGCTGAGATTACAGGCGTGCTCTACCAGGCCCAGCTCAGTCTTTGAAGCTGACCACTCTTCCTCTGCTCATTTCTGCACTCAGTGGTCCTCCGATCTCCATGATACAGTGATGTTCTCAGCGGGTCACGGCAGACTCGACTAGTAGACACTTCACTAGTGTCTCAATTTCTCAGTAGTTTAAATGTATTGAATTCTAAACAACTGTCCTTCATTCTAAGAGTCTATCCTTCCTGGTTTGGGGTAACTAAATGATCTCTTTTTCAAAGTGAAGGTGATAGTGAATGCTAGTGTATTTCCTTTATGTTCCCACTTGGCAAAATGAAACATTACTTTCTTAGTGTTGGCTTCATAAATATTTATAGAATGAGTGAAAGAATGAGAGCTGTATTTCCAGCCTGGAATTTTCCCAATGGGCGTCTCAGATTCACTCCAAAGTTGAACGATTCTTCTCCCTCAACAAGCCGCCTGTGTACCCACCCACCTTACCGTCAGCATCATATCGAGCCAGTCACTCGATCTAAAATCCTCCACCTCTGTGTGGTGTCAGTTTAGTTCCTCGATGTCCTTCCCTTTTGTCTTCCCAGCATGTCCATGCTTCCTCTATCTACTCTCACCTGGACATTGGGTTGTTATAAAATTGGTTGTGCTGTTTGCATTGTTGAAATTTACTACTTGATATTAGACTGATACATTTATTTACTTTTTTTGAGACAAGGATCTCTGTGTAGTCCTGGATGTTCTCTCACTCTGTAGACCAGGCTGGCCTCCAACTCAGAGATCCACCTGCATATGCCTCTCTGAGGACTGGGATTAAAGGCGTGTACCACCACTGCCTGGCTGACTAATATATTCATAAACAAGTATGGCTATGTTAAATAACATTTTAGTGACCATTCTTGCTTTACGTCTTTTTGTTGATGACTTACTACTTGCTATTTTTATTTCTATTTTTGATACAGGGTTTCTTTGTATAGCCTTGGCTGTCTTGAAACTCACTATATAGACCAAACTGGCC